CTAACAAACACAATTGAGAAATTATTTGCGAAAACTCCCATTTTTGTCGATACGAATAACTAGATTTAGAAGTAACTTATAAAGCCAATTTCGAATAACCTGAAAAGGCTGGGTAACTTCTGCTATCCTGTAGAATTCCTGCGGGAGGGCAAATGATGACGACAGGTATCGGGTAAACTGCAAGGGAGTTGGCCCTCGATATTGATTAAAGTATTTAATAAGAGATATATGGCAGAAGTGAACATAGGTGATCAACCACGGTAACCAACTATAGAAGGAATACTAGTTGTAAGCCGCCCACCTTACTACGGTGTTAACATCCTGCTGGGTTAATATGTCGTCCCTTTTTTATGCAAATTCACTTTCTCCCTGGTTAACTTTGGAATCACATGTAGCAGCCATCACCTTTGCTAATTCAACGTCAGGTTAGTATGAGTTTACTGTGTCAAGCTCTTGAACTGTATCCCAGAATTCCTGGTGAATCCAGCATGCTATAATTCCTGATTATGTGCAATTCAATATGTCTACCCTATAAAGGGAGCCGAAGTGCTTTCTCTTTATTGTGTAATCCACCGGTGACCACTGTTGTTTTTCTCAGTTTAGTTCAGTGTGTTTGAGGGGGATAGGTTTACGCTTTTAAATTTCCATTCGTCACATAAAAGCTTAACAATTTAAAGCGATGTCAAGAAATAACAGCTTCGATTGAATGTCAAAGAAGAGTCACACAGTACACTGCTGTTTAAGGTTAAGTAGTCATCTGGTTGACCTTTTGCTGCAGCAAAGCTCTGCCAAGCCTATGATTAGATGTCGATATAGACATAACAATATCCTCGGAAAAACTATTCCACCCGTTTCTCTTATTACTTTCTGCTCATGTATCTGATGAAAAATCCATTATGGATGTTGAAACATCAGGCGAATAAATGTGTTGGCCGAGCGATTGAATCTTCTTCTATATTCCTCGAGTCCATGCCACGGTCGGCTTAAAACATTTCTTCACACCCAATTACTCAGTGATCCGTACTTCAATCCAAAATCGGAAAAAAAAGTGGGAAACTAGCTTCAGTTTGCAATTTATCCTACGTACCTGCAATTTATCCTACCAACCTGCAATTTTTGTCAAAAAACATTCACTATGCTGCCTCTGATTCGACTCATTGTTCTGATGACTGTGACCTCTAGCGACCTAGCTTGATCTTATGATCGAATGTGAGCGTATTATTTGGCCGTGGAATTCTAAATGATAAACTTCTTTGTTAAGTTAACTTTTTGTTTAGAACTGTAGTAGAGCTTGTGCTTATTTCCTTAAGGGGGGAGGCTACAGAAGAGAGACGCGGCGTCACAGTTAGCTAGATGGTCTTTTCTTTTTGCAGAGACGCTGACGCACAACCGCACGGGAGGGGCCGACAA